AGTCCTGGGGTGAAGCAAGCTAACTGGCAAAGGAACCTTTCCTTAAAGGGGCAGCTCTCCAATTCTTAGGAGTCTCACATCTCAACTTGCTAAAACAAAATTAATAGTTCTTGGTGTCTGCACTAATCATGCAGACACAATTTAGTTAATATCCTTTCCTCCCTCCCCAACACTGAAATAAGACAAATAGAATCTATCTCCATAATTTTACTTAGTCATTTAGTTCAGTAGCATCTGTTTATCATGATTTACAAGAATTTGGCTGGCAATGAGTGTTGCAGGAAACATTTGCATAAAGGAATTTTATTTACATATTTTTCCTCCTTAAGCACTAGGATACTCAAAATGGTCAAGTCTTGGAAATCCAGGCAAGCTCCAGTGGTGATTATTTTTAAAAAGCCACACTGGATGGTCTTCAAGAAGTAAGAAATATTTAGAGCTTTCTAATTTAGAAGACAAATGTGAAGCGCAGCCTATTTTTAAAAATGTGTAATTAAATGAAGAGAAAATTGAAATACGGCTAATCTGGCTTGCCTACTAAGCAAGCAAGGGAAGGAATTTGACTTCCTTAGCATAAGTTCTCAGAACAGTCTGTTCTTGGGTGTTTTGAGTAGGAGAAAAAAAAATTCTCACCATACCTCTGTCACTGGAACTTTAAGGTTTAATTCCATGTGTATATATGTGTATTTTAGAATTCTTTGTATAATTAAATTGTTTCTCTCTTTCCATATATTATTCAATGTAAAACAAGATGTAGCAAGAAGTATGTTGCCATTTATCTGGTATAAGTCCCAAGGAGGGTTCAAATATACTTGCCTATATTTTTAAAAGCCAAAGTCTGGGGCCTCCCTGGTGGCATAAGGGATTAAAGTACGGCACTATGAAGCTCTCCACAGCCACTATATCAGGAGTTTGATCAGGGTCAGGGGTGACCCACGAGGTGCTGCAGAATCTCCTGTCTTCCTCTCAGCAGTGTATTTCAGTGGATCTACCTGTTCTGCTCCCCACTGTCTCTGGTGAATCCTCTCACCATTCTGCACCTCTGGCCTATACTCCAATTCTTGTATGCATAAATAAGTAAATGTTTTAACAAAAAACCTCACCGTCTAAGTCATAAAATTCCTATAAATATTCACCTCTAAGGGAAGAGATGGACCAAGGTGGAAAGATAAAAGATAAACCCTAGAATTCTCTAAAAAGTTTGTTTCATAAACTTGACTTTGAAAGTGCTACATCACTATAAATCTTAATTTTGAAAAATAGTCTTTAAAGTCTAAAGCAAAGTAGGACAAGAGAACCTAACAAAATATCAAGTTGGTGGCTTAATTACATAAAGAGGAGCTGTTTCGAATGACTCAGAAACACAGTAATTTAACAGTACCCAAGGATTTACACTAAGGGCTCAACAAATTTTTTTTCTTTTTCTTTTTTTTAAAGATTTATTTATACATACAGAACTGGGGTACAGGCCAGAGGTGGAGGGGCATTGAGAGGATTCACCAGAGACAGAGCAGGGAGCAGAACAGGCAGATCCGCTGAAATACACTGCTGAGGGGAGCAGCAGATGAGACAGGAGAGGTCTGCTGCCCATATGGGTCAGCTCCCGGGCAAGGCATTGCACTCTTGCTGCAGCGGCTGGGGATATATTAATAGCACTGAGACTTAAACCCTAGGCTGCCAGGGAGGCCCCACCACTGTAGGATATTAAAGGATCTTTGATTCTGAAAACAGAATTAAGAAATCAAGTCTTTAATGACTTTTCTTACAAACTATCTAGTAGCTTCCAGTTGATTAATGAAGGAAAGAGAAGATACAGAAATGTTCAGCAGTGGCCACTAACAATACAAAAAGGGAGATAACAGCATAATATGAGACTTCTAATGTCACTAACTCCAAAAAAGCATGATTGCTTCTGAATCAGACCAAGTTACTAGATCTTACCACAAGCAAGAAAACAGAGGGGCATGTTACATAAACACACTAGCCGCAAAATGCAGAAAATTCTCCAGGAGTAAGGGGGGAACAAGGTCAACCAGAATCTCTCTTGGGCTAGAACATATATGGACTCGTCTTAAATTACTTGTCATTATTACTAAAATGCCTGCAATGAAGGGTTAACATATATACTGTAGTGAGCACTGTCACCTGGCACCTAGATTTTCAACCAATTCTTGTTTCCTTGTTTTGGTGAATCATTTATGTTGCACTGAGCAAGGCTGCAATCACACATTATCAGGAGGAGCTTACATCTGACAACGAACACTTCTAACTAATCTCCTTAGGGCTCTCCCTGCTGGCACAAGGAGTTATAAGCACAGCACTATGAAACTAGCTGCAGCCACTGCAGCATGAGTTCAATCCCTGGACAGGAAGCTGACCCACATGGCACTACAGACCTCTCCTGTCTTGCCTGCTGCTCTCCTCAGTGTACTTCATCTATCTGCCTGTTCTGCTCCCCACTCAGTCTCTGATAAATTCTCATTGTCCCTGCACCTCTGGCCTGTACCCAAGTTCTGTATACATCAATAAATAAATCTTAAAAAAAAAAACTTCCTCAGATTCAAGGTTCAAGATTGTGTTAAAGTTTCTTGGATCAGCTGTGCTATTGGAAAGACAAACTATGTAAAGGCATTTCCTATAGCATGTCTGCTAGAAAACTAACTCACATCTAATTACCAAAATGGAAATTGAGAAATGTGAAGTTGGGTGTGTAGGAGAAAGCTTGGGGATCCCACATTGTCACAGCTGAGACAGCCTCTGACCCAAAGTTTCCTCCTCACTAAATGGGAGTCAGTACAAATCCCACTGCTTATGGTTACGAAATGCTTAGGAAATTGTTGGTAACGGAAACTGCCATTTACTTTTCTGCTTTTCACTCCTATTTAACATGTTACTTTTAGGCTTTTGTCTGCATAGTTTACTAGATCATAAATCCTTTAAGGGGAAGTTCGCAAAATCAACTGTTAGTAGCCAATGTTTAATGAAAACCATATAAATTCCACTGCATAACATTAAAACACCAAATGTTTTCCAAGCCACCACCCATTTTGATTAGCTCTAAACATTTATGCTTTTCCCAACTACAAACCTAAAGGGTTGGATTACAACTTGGGCTGAGACTCCACGAGTTTATTAAAAAACCCATTACTTTCACATTTACACAGAGTATCAGCTGTGTAACTTCATTCCATCTTCTCTAATGAATGTGTGGGGTAGGTGTGGTTTCTTACATAAGTCTGGAGCAGGAGTCAGCAAACTTTGTAAAGCACCAGAGTGTAAACACTGTAGGTTTTGTTTGCCATACTGCCACATGGCTTTTTTTTAAATCTTCTCAAATATAAAAAAAAAAAATAGTTCATGTGTCATATTAATACAGGCTGCAACAGGATCCTGCCCAAAGACTGCAGCTTGCCAGCTTCCCGCGAATAGGGCTTTGAGCATTTGAGACCATGCCGTTTTTGTCTTGGACCTGGGGCAGGCCTGCAGGCACACGCTGCCTTTCAAAACACGCGGAGGTTAATAAAAGGGATTGTGAAATCGCTACTAGTTTTTGAGTTGGCAGATGAAGGAAAACATTTTAAAACTAAACAGGCGCATATTTTTTAGCTGGCAACAGAGCTCTCTCAGCTGCTTTTCTCATCCACAAAAATCTTATCACAGAGCTTGCCTCTGTTCAAAAGCTGAAGGTAAAACGGCAATTCAAAAAGGATAAAAAAAAATATATATTCTGCTGACATCCAAAGAAAAAATTAAGATGCAGTGCAGGAAGACTACTAAAGACACAAAAAGCAGACAAACTGGAACAAAACATTTTATTATTAAAATAAAAACCTTTGCATAAAAAAGCATTACAGATCAAAAGGTCTATTTACATGTATTGATTTAACTCGAATCACGCATCGAATACCAAATGGGCACAGCAACTGCACATCAGAGTAACACAGACAAGCACTCAGACTCCACCTCCACTAAACGACTGATTAATGCAAAGGGGCAGGGAAGATGGTGCATGAATTCTACCCAAAATCTGAAGTTCAACTGTGGAAAATCACCCATCTCCAAAAAAGGTACTTCTCATTGTTATAAAAGTGCTTATGATATCAACTAGAGTGCTGTGCTAGGGTATCATTTCTTCAAGAAAGCAACAACAGCAAAGAATCATGCGCTTGTATTAGCATTAGCTTTTCCAGGTAAAATGGTCAGGAATTTATTTACATATGAACTGAAATAAGCTTGGTAAGCAACCGTAAACTCAAGTTTTATAGCATGAGCTCAAGCCCGCCTGCTCCTAAATCCTCCCCTTCCTGATGCCCCTCGGCTCGTGTGTGCACCAGACGCAGCATTTAATCTCGCAGCATTTAATCTCGCGGCGGAAGAAATCAGCAGCAGCCGAGTCGCAGGTGGGACAAGAAATCAGCAGCAGCCGAGTCGCAGGTGGGACAACCTGCATGGTAAGCACGATGCACGGAACATTCTGAAACATCCAAAAGGACAGACTCCACTTTCCAGCAATTACCTAATTTTCCCATATGGCTTTAAGACTTCTGTGCGCTGATTCTGTTAAAACTCAATCATACCCACTGTCTTGATGGGTACGAAATGGGGAACAAAGGAGAGGGCTGTTCTCTCGAATTCAGTAAATGTAGCTGGTTAACACCACTACTGTGTTTCTAAGTGCTTGGTTTTATGGGTAGGTTCCGGGGCTATTTCAACACCAATGAAATCAAATGTGCTTTCATAGTATTGTCATTTATAAAGAACTCAGAAATGCAGTGGGACAGAACCACCGGAAACAGAGGGGGGGATGTTAAGGGGTGAGGCAAAGCCAAGGAGAAACAGCAGGAGGGCAAAGTGGAGCTTGCAATTACCTCCATGATGCTCAGAAACACATGCATGTCTAAAGAGATTCACTTGATCTGAGTTTCCTATAAAACACACTGATCATTAAAATTCTTTACTCGGATTTCAATCACATAACAAAATTGAAAGCTTTAACAAGGAAGATTTGTACACTGGAAAGCAGACTGTGGATCTTCCGAATATTATGCCTGCATTTCAAACTCCTGCTTCAGACTGAAAGAGAAAAGGAAAACATATCAGACTATAGTTTCAACCTAAGAATCCTCCTTGGAAATCCTAATTCACTCTATACAACCCAGAGTTTCACACAGGGTTAAGTACACATGGCTTCAGTATAAAATTTATATGCCTTTGGGCCCTCCCTGGTGGCGCAGCGGGTTAAAGCACTGTACTAAGAAGCTTAAGCCACTTCCGTATGAGTTCGATCCCTGCCTGCCCAGGAGGTGACCACATGGCGTGGCAGGCCTCTCCTGACCCGCCCGCTGCTCGCCTCAGCAGTGTACTTTGTCGATCTGCCTGTTCTGCTCCCGCTCTGTCTCTGGTGAATCCTCTCACCCTCCGCATCTCTGGCCTGTACCCCAGTTCTGTATGAATAAATAAATGAATAGAGGTCTGCCATGCCATGCGGTCACCTCCAGGGCAGGTGGGGATCGAACTTCATGCGGAAGTGGCTTACACTTCTTAGTACAATGCTTTAACCCGCTGCGTCACCAGGGAGGGCCTAAATAAATAAATCTTAAAAAAAAAAAATTTATATGGCCTTGTCCCTTTCTGTCCCCCTCTTCCCCTCCCTTTAACTTCAGAAACCTTGATTCACTGGGTATTATCTAACAGCTTTCATAAGAATTTTGCTTTGTTGAATTGTCTGTAATGCAAATGTCCAGAATGACAAATGTCATTCTGACTTGCACTTTAACAGATTCCCTCAAGACTCCCTCCGTTTTGCTTTTAGTAGCAACAGTTCATCTTTTCTTATGATTGAACGTTCCCCATCACCATGCGGACATATGCCACATCTTACTGACCCAGTCCTGTCAGTGAGCTCACAGGTTGTTTCCATGTCTCAACTATAGTAAACAGTGCTGCGAGAAACACTATAGACCATGTAATTTTTTTGAGTCGATGGTTTCAGGTCTAAATTGAAATTGACCCGCCCGGGTCACCCCCCACACACATTCATGCTCCTATTGGTGATCCCAGTCACTCTCTGACTTATTAAGACACCTAAGTAACAAAACACTTGGGTGTGGAAGTAAGAAAATTCAGCCATTACCTTTTCAAGTAAGCATGCACATTCCCAAAGCCATGGTATTTGGCTAAATAGACCAGGACTCCCGTTGCACACCGCCCATCACGCTGCCGACAAAAGCTGCAATTGCAGATTCCACGGCAAGGCGGGCAATGCCAGTTCTGAAGAATAGTGGGAAAAATAATCACAATTATTTTAGACCTTATTCTCCCCTCACTACTCATCTACTTCTACCTCTGAGATTCATATCATCAATTGCACTTAAATCTCTTAATTTTTTAATTAAGAAAAAAACACATTAATGCAGTTAATGTCCACTAGTCATGTCTAACTTTCCCTTGGGAAATCCAGCAGAGAAAAATGCTATAGCTGAGACACCTCACAACACTGGTGGCTCCCAGCTTTCCATTGCTGTCTTCTTGCCGGTACTTTCGCGCTCCACAGGACACCCCCTCAAGGCACTTACGGGGTCCAGAAGAGCATCCCTGACCTCTTCACCATAACGGTTTCGAAGGCAGGGACCGCAGAACTGGCCCCGAACACCCCAGCATTCTGGGTTCCGACAGTTTGTTTTCGTGTCAATAGTTTTCTGGCGACACTGATGACAAGTTGACCCCTATTGAGAACAAGCAAGTAAAAAGAAAAACTTTGCTAGGTAAAATGGCATATTTAAGGAGTGTCCTTTGTGGGTACAGTCTGACATTTTGTCTTTGATTCCTATTTACACCTACATCTACACACAGCCTGTGAAGTTTCACAAGTGCGGTGATTTCATTCAACTGGCAGCTGCAATAACTAATAACAGAACTACTTCCCTGGAGAGAAGCCTTGCGTGCCAAAAACACCTGCCCAAATCCTTTATATTCTGCATGCCACCCTATCACATGCCCAACAACCACCAATGTAGACACATATAACAGATACACAGCAACTATGTGGGAAACTAAATCAACTTCCAAATCAGAGATTAAATCAAGAATGATTTAATACTGCCAAAGAGTGCTACAACTTAGAGTGACTTTCCTGTATGAAAAAACATGCCAACACACACTACTCTAAGACTTTTAGAGTATTAGCAAATCTTTAGTGACAGAAGCTATCTGTCCTGTTAGACTGTTACATTTTCAGACATTTAGAGTTTTACCAATGAACGGTTATATATCTTCTCTCGAGAGTTGCTGCAGATATTCTCCAGATCTTCTTCTGTAATGTCTTCCACTGGGCGAATTATATGCGGGAGGGTCATGGACCCAGGGCGACGAATTCTAGGCATGTCATCTTCCTGCAGGACAGAACCATCGGACGGACAGTCTTTATTGGCTCTCCCCAGTTCTGCATCTCAGATACTCTCATCTGTAATTTCTTCACAGAAATTGAACCTGGAAATCTTTCTTAGAGCTCATGGAAAGTGGGCCAGATATTTAAGTCTATCATTGGATAATGGGACATGATGGTAAACAATTCCTATGACTAAAAAAATTAAGTCAAAGCTGACTCTCTTGACTATGAACAAAATCATTAAATAGTTTTTGATATGACATTAACAGTTCTGAATGGTTTGAGAACATTTAGTACAAATCATTTGGTCCTAAGGTCATGCTGAAGTATGTATTTGTCTACCCAATAGTGGGTCTACAGGAGATGTAAGTCAGAATAGCACACACAGATTCAGAGAACTCACATTCATGTAGCCATCTAGGGTCTTCCTCTTTCTCACCAACATGTACTTATCTTCCTCCTCCTCCTCGTCCTCCTCTGTGGGTAGAATGCTGGCAGACCCAAGGATCCGGGACCTTGACCTGGTCAGAGGACGAGCTCTCCGCTCAGGATTTCTCCTAGAAGCCACACCTGGGAATGAACGTCTCCGGGGCGTCTTGGATTGCTAAACAAAATATATTATGGAATCCACTTATTCCAAAATGAAGAGAAGTAGCACTTTAAAAGGAGAGTTCTATTTTCTATTTTTCTTTGTGCTTTTTATAATGAATAGAAAACGAACCCCAAAATGACAGAACAGTTGTAATTCTTCTTTGATAACACTAATTCTAACTTACCTCAAATTGAGATATCTAGTCTTTTTAAGCATATAAGAATGGGTGTCATTTTCCAAAAAAAAAATTCCCACTACATTTCAAGCCCTGAAACATATTGTTTCTATACTGCGCAAGAGAGAAATGTATGTATCATTTTCTTCGTCCCCTCCTTGCCTCTTTCCTTTCTCCTTAGGGAGAGGTGGAGGAGGGGAGCCCTTTCTTTTTAAAGATTTATTTATGCACACAGAACTGGGATACAGGACGGAGGTGTAGGAGTGGTGGGAGGATTCACCAGAGACAGAATGGGAAGCAGAACAGTCAGATCGACAAAGTACACTACTGAGGGGAGCAGCGGGCGGGTCAGCAGAGGTCTGCTGCGCCAGGTGGGTCACCTCTGGGGCGGGGATCAAACTAGCACTGAAGGAGCTGCAACGAGCTCGCAGTGCTGAGTCCTAACCCATTGCACCACCAGGGAGGGCTGAAGCCTTTTCTTTTATACCACAGCAGACAAACCAAATTCTGCTGAGTTGTACCAGTTTAGGTCCTCAGAATATAGTATCATGACATCACACTTGGTTAAGAAAACGACATTTCCTTCTTTTCCCTCAGATTTTAAAAAGATCTACCATTACGAATCTGCCATGCAAGAAGGCTGGGGATACAGAAAAGATTTCTTCCAACCTTTTTTATTCCCTGTCCTCAAAGGCTTAGCCTAGTTGGGAAGAGATAAGTAATCAAAGAGGTCTGCATGGCACAGAGCAGGACACAGGGGCTGAGCCTCCCCTGGGATGCCAGGGAGAGACCTGCTGGGAGGCTCCCTCTAGGGCTGGAGACCACACCGAATGAGAAACAAAATTTTAAAATATTAACGAACTAGCTCACATTTGCCCCAAACACTATACAATCAAGGATTCACACTTACTGAACGGGGGCTTAGGAGAGAACGCCTTCCAGGGAATGAGCCAGGGAAGCTTTCCAGTTCTGACATTAGTTTTGCCAGCTAAGAAGGGAGGAAATCAAACAAACTATTAATTTAGAGTATCTGATGACAATGAGCAACTTCCGGAAATTACAGTAGCATATGTCAGAGTTTCAGATTTCCCCTACACATTTTCCAAGACTTTAATCGATTTCTTTACAAGTTAGTTTATGGGAGCAAATGCATTTTAAAGCACACAGTACGAAGACTTTACAGTTAAACTGAAAATAACTCTCAGTGCAACAAGTCTCTTAGAGAAAAGCTGAGAAGAGTTAATTCCTACACGCTCACGATCAGACACCTACCATTGCTTTGTTTTGCTTTATATTTAAAGCTCTTTTCTCCAAAAAATTCACACCGCTTTCCTCTTCGGAATCAGAATTGGAATCGGTCACAGAGTTCTCTAAGGGCTCAGGGACCGCTGTTTTCTTGGCGGCTGCTCCCCTGGTGTTCCGTGTTGGAAACTTCATGGCCACACGGAGCTGTCCAGCAACTCTGCCCTGGCTGCGGGTCCTGCAGCCCGTGCGGGTCAAAGGTGGTCTCTAGTTAACCAGAGCAGTGAGTCATTAATAAGGCTCAGAGGAAGACAGGCAGCACAGGACACTGAAAATCCTTGCAAACAAAAGACACTTGCATCAAATAAATTTTAATTGGACACTGACAGTTCTGGGTAACAAAATCAGGAATTACAAATTATAATCTCAGTGTAAACGAATTTACAGTCCGCCGCGGTCCCAGGGCTCTAAGCTACTTCATAGCCCATAGGCTGATGGTTGTGAATCATTCTTTAAAGTAGGATCCCTACTCCCTTTCCAATTTCTATAAAAACATTTTTCTAAATTTCTAAAGACTTATAGGAACAAATCTGTGTTCTCCCAGACATGGCCTCAATGTTTACTGCAATACAAAACTATAATAAAGGTGTCTCAATACTCTCATCTACTGTTTTTGGTGATTATATATATATATAAAAATTATACAATTTATCACTTTAACAATTTTTAAGTGTCTAGTTTAGTGGCCTTAATTACATTCTTACTATTGTACAATCACCATGTCCAGAACTTTTGCGTCATCCCAAACTGAAACACTTCTATTAACAGTAATTCCTCACTCTCCCCTCTACCAGCCCCTAACAATGACCATCCTTTCTCTCTCTATAAACTTGACTACTCTGATTATTTTCTAACCCACTTTTTGTAAGCCTAAAGTAAACTTGAAAAATTTCAGAAATAATACAGCTTTCCATCATTAAAGCCACTGAGTGGCTAATTGTAATCCAAATTAGAATCACAAATACCATTTGATACTGAAATAACAAGGGTAAGGATATGGTAAAGCTAGAACTTATAAACACTACTGGCAGGAATATACGTGGCAATCACTCTGGAAAATAGCCTGTCGTTCCTCAAAAGGCTAAGTAAACAGAATTCCTGTAAGATCCAGCAGTTCTATTATATACCTGAGGGTAGGTGCAGACAAAAACATATACGAAGTTTCCTAGCATAGGGTATCAATCCACAGCAATCATCTATCAACTGATAAGTAAAATGTGGCATAGTCACATAATGGAATATTAGTCAGCAATAAAAATGCGGGAAGTACTGGCCCATGCCACCCAACTATAAACACACTGCTTCCTCTGCTGACAAAATCCTGATAACAGGAAAACATGCGAGGGGAGAGTGGGAGCCCTGTGCAGGAGTAGCAGCAGCAGCAGCGCCCTGAGGAGGAGGACAGAGCTTAAAAGGGTAAGTCAGTGTGCACAGGAAGAGCCAACCCAAGAGCAAGAGTGGAAGCAGGAGGAGTGCTGATTGTCATTAGCCACATTCATGCTCCTGTACACAAGTCATCACAGGTGTTCCAGATGCAGGCTGAGTCCACGGGGGACGGGCACTGAACAGAGACTGGCCTGGGCACTTCAATGCAAATGTAGCTGATCCTGACAACAAAATCAGTGCCTCCTCTCACTAGGCTGTTTCTGTGGCAAAAGAAATCTGGTGGTTCACCGATTTTATCTTACCAGTTGCAAGATTTTCTGAGTCTATTAAATTTTCATGATTTACAAGTAGGAGGGCATTGGTAAAAACTGCTTTAAGGCTTACGAAAATATTCTTAAAATTTTCGGAAGGTCGACTAAATCTTCTGGCATGACTAAAATGAAAATTACACAAAAAAAAACTGAAACAAGTATGTCATGCCTCTAAATGTCCCTTACTTCTTGATATTGGTGAAATTCTCAAACTCACCATTCCATCTTGTATCTCACTTTCTGAGAAACCGCAAAATGATTCATCATCAGAGTCGGCATGAAAAATACTGGCCAGTTCGTTAGTGACATCTGGCCTTGCTTTCTGCAAAAATCCACAATGGTCTAATACATCTTGCACCTCACTTTCTGAAAAGCCGCAGAAAGATTCATTATCAGAGTCCTCATAAAAAACATTTGCCAGTTCTTCACTGATATCTGACCTGAATTTAGGTTTCTGTAAAATAAATAAATAAATGTGGTTGTGCATTTTTTTGTTTCAAGAACCAATTTTCCATAAACCGTGCAGAGAGCAAATCACATTTACAAGAGCACTACAAGAGAATAGCTTTTGTTACAAAGAAAAATGGTTCAGAGGTTTACAAATGATTTCTGAGTTGTTATGGCAAATCATCAGGCATGTTAGGTTAGGCGACATTTCAAAAGGATAGAATAAGTAGCTAATCTACCGCCAACAATTACTACCTAGAACCACAGCAAAAAGTGAAATGAAATTACAGTGCATACTGTATTTTCATAACGGCTGTATAGAAATGTAGGCAAAAAGCAAGCAGTTTTAATCACGCACAAAGCATTTGGGGCATTTTGAACACTGCAGACTCAATTCTGTTTATTCTCAGGCAGCACTTACTGTGTTTGCAAAATTATCAGAAGCAAAGCTGTCACAACTGTCATCAGAGGATGACGCGGTTTCCATGGAAATCAACTTCACATATCTGAATTTCTTGAAGTTCTTTACTCTGAGATCCTTTTTCTGCAGATGGAAATGGCAATGCTATTAAGTAGGATGCTTACTATAGTAGCTAACTAAAGACAACATTTGAGTTTAGCAGGTTCAAACAGCCGCGTAGATATGTCCATTTTTAATACTCTACAAAGAAAAACAAGGATTTACAATTGCTACAAAAAATTTCAAAACCAGATTAAACCCTAAAAAAGGGATTCCTTTGGAGAAAAATTGTAATGACATTTATCAATCTATTCAACTATCTAGAGAGCTACCTTTTCTACCTAGCTTAAGAGCTTCCAAGCTCTTAGCATTATACTCAGCTCTTAAGGAGTTTAATGCTAAACTCCTAAAATCCACACCCCCCCCACACCCTTTTGAAAATTAAACGGTATTTCTAAAAGGAAATTTTGAAAGTACAAAATTGTAGAGTGATTTTTCTCCCTTAGCCAAAATCAAACTAATGAAGTCTTTTTATGTAGCTTTAAGCGATGTACTGTGATGCTAATTTCCCCAACTACAAAAACTGGGCAGGACCTCTACTTCAAGATGGCAGGTTTCCAAAAAGGCCCTGTTCCAACCAGGAGGGGTAAAGTGAATTCAGCTCAAGTCCTTACAAACCAAACCTATCAACCCAGTGAGCAAATGGTACAAAGAGCCAAGTTAAAGGTCAAAACAGCATTCCACACCCTGGTCGAATGCCTGCTTCCACTTCAGCTCTCTATTAACCTGGCCTGAAGTTCAGTTTTCTGCAGGGCCCTTGGTTTTTAGAAATCCTTCCAGAAGGCATGTATTACCCGTGAGTATGAGAGTTCTTTTTTGGTTCTTACACTGTAAACAGCCAACACGGCTGTCAGAAATTGGAACTATTTCACGTTAAATCATGAACAGCAGATTCTGCCATTTTCAAATACTGAATGATAATTTTTCTTCTCTTTAGTGTGGCCATGGCATAGCAGAAGTGCTCATCCTCAGGCTGCTGGAAGCGGAAAAGGGCAAGTTCTGCTATGATCCCATAAAATAATGCCAAAATGTGATATGCCAAGTAACAACACAGTCCTGACCTCCTCATTCTACATTTCACTTCATTCAGAAATAAAAATATTTTCGTGATGATGGTACCCAACCACCCTCTGCTCCTAGATAGAATCTGTTCAATCACCTTAGCAAGTTTTTGTCCTTCTTACAGAAAGGTGGTAAAGAAGAACAGGTAGAGAGCTACTACCTATTAAAAGGGAGCTCAGAAAACATCCATTTTTCAGATGAAGAAATTCTAAGTTCTAAGGAGGTGAGATAAGACTGCCCAAGATCACTGGGCTGGAAAGAGGGCCGAAGTCTGCAATCTCCTAAAAACAGCGTCTTGAATTTCTGCAGAAATTATCCCGCAAGCAGTCGGAGGCCCAGGACAGCCTTAAGGGAGGCATTCTAATGGAAGCTGTCAGGAAATACACGCTGGATTTTTAACAAGTCAGCGCTTGCCAACAGTTTGTTACCAAGCAAAAGGACCTTTGACGGGAAAGACTGAAAGCAGCACAGCAAGTAGCTGTAGTTGAGATGAACTTTGTTTTCGGCACTTCCTAAGGCGGGCCAGGTATTAAATATGCTTTCACATTATGTCCTACTCCTCGCAACAAAGATGCCATCATTACTCCCATGAACAAATGAGGAAAATAAGGCTCAGACGTGAGATGGATTACTCAAGTCACACGACCGCCCAATTCTGAGCCCAGCCAAGACTCCAAGCCACCGCCCAGCCCCACCCGGGAAATCTGGTTCCGAAACCACGCCCGCTCCCCTTCCCCCAGGCGCCCCACTCTCTCCGATTTATTTTAAGCGTTGTCACTCCCTTTCTTTCCACCCAACCCCCTCTTCTAACCGTTCCTGGTGCAGACCCTCCGGTCCGGTTTCCGTACAGAGTGTTAAAAAAAAAAAAGTTCCCTTCGGGGTAACCTGCGGCTGCGAGTCAGGCTGGGGGGTGGGGAATGGTGTGAGGAAGGAGCAAATGGTGGCCCAACGAGTGGACCACTATAAGTCCTTCAACTGATCTTAATTACCTCCCGCGGCTAAAGGCACCTTCTCCAAAATGTTCAACCTTAAGTTTCAAAAAAGACCGATTTGCGAATCCTTTACATTGCAAACCCACCAACCCTCAGCTGCTGGAAGCAGTTGCCAGCGGAAGGGGTGGGAGGCAAAAGCGGGCGCATGAGTGTCCCCTAAAAGCCCCCGGATGCATCCCGGGGGCGCAGCAAAGGGCCCCGCTGGGCTGCAAACTCGCAAGGAGCTGAGAGTGGGGGCAGCATTCACGTCCGCGCTGCCGATCCGACTCCCAGAGTGGACACAATGAGGGGCCAGGCCCCCCCGGCCGCTGTCTGGCCTCAGCGCACGTGCACCGCGAGCGCACGTGGCCATCCTGAAACGTGGCTCGGGTCTCCACACCGTCCGCAGACCCGGCAGGGCTGGCCCCTGGTTCCGAGTTACCCCGGGGACGCAAAACCTGGGGTTTGCCTAAAAGGGAGCCGCCCAGGGCTGCCACCAGTTGATACAGCACTCAGTCCGCGGAGTAGGCGTGAGTCTGCCCGCGCCCAGCGCCCACATCGCCCGCCCTTCAGGTGCGCCCGCCCAGCCCTCACCGGCACGCGGCGAGCGTCCATGCTGGCGGCGGGCGCCCAGGTCGGCGTTCCGAGTAGGGAGAGCGGAGCCGCAGCGCGCGCCACCGTCCCACAGGGCAGGAGGAGCCGGAGCCGCGCGGCTAGCAGGCGGGGTGCGCAGACCCGGGCCCGGAGGGGCGGGGCCCAGGCAGGCTTTCCCGCGTTGGGGCGCAGGTCCTGCAAGCTGTGGTAACGCCCCACGGGGGCGTGAGACCCACTTAGAACCCCCCAAAATGCAATCTCCAAAATATTCTGAACTCTAGTACTTAGTCTCGGGTTCCTAAAATCTGCTTCGGGAAAGTGGCGCTTTTAGGATTCCGGGACCATTCTCTTTACGTTGCTGTGCAGACCTGGGCGAGTGGCGCGAAAAAGGTTCGTATTGCCCCGGGTGAACAAGCTGCTTTGCATGAATTTCGGGACAGGGGACGGAAATGTGGAGTTGGGGGGTAATAGAGAGCAATGCGAGTACACGCCCAGGGTCCTGCATTTAGTACTTTCATTGTGGTATACCGCCTATAGTATTTTCATTCAAAACAAATTTAAATAAAACATTAGCTGATTCACTGTTGTGAAAGTTTCGCCGCTCTTATGGCAATCACACCGTTATCTGAAGCAGTAAATCCTGGTTTTCCTTTCCAAAAAGCATTGGAGGCCAAGTGTTTTAATTTTAAGTTAGAGGGGAAAAGATGCTGTGGCTAGTAAAGCTTTATGCATGGGATAGTCTTTAGCCTCTATCCTCCGTAGTAGCTAGCTCTAAAGGCTGCCTTAATCTGAATAAGTGGATCTTTTCTCCTGTTAGAATTTAGAATTACATAAATCTGTATGAAAGTGAGAAGATTTTCATTACCGTTTTAATAGAGCCAGACATCCGATGATAAGAGGCTTTATTTTTTTCTTCTATGTGAAGAACAGGAAAAAGTTCCTCTTAGAAAGTAAAATAAATTTGGTTGTTTCAAAAGATCCCAACTATAACCTTACTTCAAAAGGCCCCCAACTAGAACCTTAAAACAAGTGCTTGCAATGAAAATGTAAGCATTTTCCTCGTTCAAGTTTTCTCTCAGAAATAATCCCTTTGCAGTGAGAGTATACAAGAGCACTGCGTTTCTCTCTAGCTGTGCTGAATACAAAAACCTGGCAGCAAGTGAAAATGCAGAGCAGTGCTTTGAAAAAAATTAGAACCAACTTGGCCAGAGTCCTCCACCTTGTGTAAAACATGCCTGATGGTGGTCACTGTGCCACAGTGCAAGGGACAAAAGTAACTCAATGTCCCCAAAAGCAGGCTCCAGGAGGTGGGGAATGTATTTGTTGCGTAAACAAAATATGAATAGTGAGTGAACTAAAATTGTCAGTGCTGTGTCCCTGGAAATGCCACTAAAAAGTGTGCCATTAAAAAGTCTTTGGGATTGTGGAAGGCATAAAGTAGGGAAAGAATAAGTCTTTTTCCCTATGAAAGGCTATGACAGGAAAATTCTTAGTCCTCCTGGGCATTAGAAAATAATTTGGTTTGCATATTTGTTTAACTTGGTTTACATATTTGTTTAAAGATAAGTACTGTGGTCTAAAAATGAAATTAAACAAGGAGATATGTTTCACTTAGATTGGCAAAAATGGGAAAGCCTGATAAGACAAGGATTTGGTAGGGATATGAGGAAATTCCTTTAATGATGCTAACAGTATAAATTTGTTAACTTCAAGGGTAACTAAGTAAACTAAGTAAAATCCAGGAAAATCAGTTGCCGAGAAATACTTAAAATGCTCTTTCATGCTGAAGGTTAGAACACATTAAATGATGGTAAAATCAATTCAGGGGATAGAAACTAATGTGTTTTCTTCTTGCTAGCTTTTGGAAAGAGAATATGAATAGTGTGGCTCTTTCCTAAAACTTGTGTCACTTTTGTGGGTGTGCTGTATAAAATGTGTATTTAATACTGTGCTTCACCATCAACATTTTCAAAGTACTGTCCTTGAGGCTCTGTCCATGTGTCAAATAAGATGCTCACTCACACATTCAGCCAAGGCTGTGTTCTGCAGACACAGAGACCAGGGAGTTTACATTTTAGTGGGAGAGCAAAAATAAACAAACGAGATAACTTCAGATGTGATAACTCTTAAAAAATAAAATAAAAGTATCATGGGATAAGAAATCAAAGAGGTACTAATTTAGAGAAGAGAAACAGGAAAGGTTTCTTTGAAGAGGTGTTGTCTGATCAAGAGCTTGAATAAAGAGCAGAGGAGACCACAGGGAAACCAGGAACGTGTTGGCTGCAGGCAGAGAGAACAGCTGGTTCAAAGGTTCTAAGACAGTCAGCAGAAGCAGCCAAGGGCACTGGTTAGAGAATTAGGGACAGGGAGGGGCCAGACACCTGGGGCCTTCCTGGCCAATGGGAAGAGCTTTGAAGTTTGTCCCAGGTGTGATGGGAAGGATTTTAATTAGAAAGACCCAATCTGTTCCGCCCCCCCCCCCCCCCTGACATCAGTAAAATGAAGGGGAGCAGAGTGAAGCTGGAGACACTTTAGAAGACCCTGAAGAAGAAGGCTGGGACAGGGCTGAAGTGGTCAGATTTACAATATTTACTTTGAAAGGAGAATTAATTGGACCTGGTGATGGAGGGCATCTGGAAGAAGAGGAAAATTCCCCCTCTTCTCATGAGTTCTTGGGCTAGTGGGGCAATGAAATTAATACAGACAGATTAGAATGAGAAAAGCCGTAATAACAACATACCCGGGGGTTTGTGTATGTTATCCTATAGCTTGTATTCACCTGACACAAAGAATTCCATTTCCTATTAAGTTAGCAACTTGACCTTGAGGTTCTGAGTGCTCAGCACTTGTATAATAGAGGTGAACTGAAGTCAAACTTGAACTCAAGATGATTGGCTTTAAAAGGCAAAGAACACAATAGCTATTAAGATGTATCATTCCTAGATGTGACTTCTAAATAAAGCTAATGTCCCAGGAGATGTGCCGCTCTAAGTCCCATACACCCTTCCTCCCCTCATTGTATAACATCAACCTGATAGCTCTAAACCAGAGACCTTCCGTGGGCTGTACATACCTGAGGACAAAGGGCTGGAGTTTTCTCTGTTTGTGAATACAGACAGGTTACAGTCTGTCAGGTCACAAATCTTTATTTTAAATAACCCTCTAATTACAGGTTTACCTCCCTGGTGCCTGCTTTCAGGATGCACAAAGGCAAGAAACATAAAAGGCTTAAAGTTACCCCTCCTTTGCCAGAAATCACTCTGTGGGAGGGCCCAGCCCATTACCACCCTCCTTCAGTTTAGTCCACAAATCCTACCTCTCCAAACCAATTTGGTCTGTTTGCTTTTGATCATATGTCAACACAGTTTAGCAAGGTCAGTTTGCTGACATCTGATACCTGACTAGGGAAAGGAATATGGAAACCTGGCCATTTTTAACAAGAGGAGATAATTTGGTTTTGGGTTTCGTTTTTCTTGGGTGAGCATTGTGTGCTGTGAGACAATTGCTGGTGTTAAAGCATCATTAAACACTGGATGAATAAAGTCCAGTTTTAATTACAGAATCAGTAACAATAGTATGAGACTGAATTATGACTATAAGCTAACTACTCCCCTCTAACTTGTTCTTAGAACATTTTTTTAAATGTGCACTTAGCAAGTTATTTGTTTGTTTTTAATTGAGTTTTTGTCTTCCCTCTGGAAACAACTAACACTGAAAAGGTGTGTGTGTGTGGGGGGGGATTCTGTTCATTTTGTAGGCAACATGTTTTAAAACTGTCCTGTTTTTATGTTTTCCTTTTCAGATCAGATCTGTTTGGTTTTGGCTGTGTTGTTGTTTTTTCTTTTAAATATTTATTTATTTATGCATACAGAACTGGGGGACAGACCAGGGATGTGGTGGGTGAGAGGATTCACTAGAGAGAGAATGGGGAGCTGAACAGGCAGATTGATGAAGTATACTGTTAAGGGGAGCAGCGGGAGAGACAGGATCAGCTCCCTGGCAGGGGATCGAACTCCTGCTACAGCAGCTTTGGTGAGCTTCACACAGCTATGCTTTTAACACGTTTGCATGAGGCAAACGTGGCTCAACAGGTTAAAGCACAGCACTCAGAAGCTAAAGCCTCTTCAGCATGAGTTCTATCCCTGCCTGCTCCAGAGGTGATCCACATGGCATAGCAGAACTCTCCTGACCCACCCACTGCTTTCCTCAGCAGTGTATTTCATCGATCTGCCTGTTCTGCTCCCCACTCTGTCTCTGGTGAATCCTCTCACCACCCCTGCACATCTGCATCACCAGAGGATTCACCAGAGACAGAGTGGGGAGCTGAACAGGCAGGCTGATGAAATACACTGCTGAGGGGAGCAATAGGAGAGACAGGAGAGGTCTGCTGCGCCATGTGGGTCACTTCCCTGGCCAGGAATCGAACTTGTGCTGAAGTGGCTTTGGACAGCTTCAACTTAACAGTGAAATTAAGCACCCCCTGGCGCCCACCTTCCCACCCACCCCCACTCCCCTTTTTTTTTTTTTCTTACCAAAACCTTTTTGGGTACATTCTTGGTTTTTATTTTAGCTCTCTGAGGCTTGGAGTCCAAATACTTCGTGTGTACACTTTGAGTTACTGTGCTTGAACCTGTTGCACAACCAAGAAGGGCTCAATTTTTAAAAATGTATAAGAAAGCACCTGCCTTAGTGCCCTCGCTGGGTCTGTAGAACTACACTGTGTGCCTAGTTCTGCCCTCACACCTAACGTAAGGCAGGAGAACAAGAAATCTGGTATGTTGGCACAAGGCTCATAGTAAACTCAGCCCTACCAATTTCTAATTCTAATTTCTAATTCTAATTCTTAGAAATTTCTTTTTTTAAATTTCTTCATTCCAGTAAAAGATACTTACATACTTACCAATATATTAAGTACTTCAACACTTTCATAAACTTTAATGAATACGTAAGTACTAAATATTTCAACAACATCAGCAATGTTGGTGGTGGTTAAAGATGCCTTTTATTCCATGGGTATAACT